TGCAACAAGAATATAAAGAACATAATTTAAAAAGGTATTCAAAATTATTTTCATGTTTTCTTGTAGCTAAGTAAAATAATAAGTTTTTTTTATGAAAAAATATCAATCCAATCCTATAGGTTCCAAATCATTCCCTGTAGAGAATGAAACCTTTGTCCAAAAGACAAGAAAAAACTAAAGATATAGATATTAAAAAAAAAAAAAAGAGATAATCCTTCAAGAGGCAACCCACCATACCACCAGGAGTGGAGGCATAATGAATCCAAATAAGAAAAGGTTAAGAATTCTTATAAACCTAAAGATAAGTGTCATAGGTGTAGCATGCATAGTCATTGATCTCGCATATGTCGAACGTCAGAACATTTTATAGATCTATATCAAACCTCTCTGAAACAAATTTAGTTGAGACTAATTTTATTCATAAATATGATTTTAAAGGTCATAATGTTTATCTTAATGTTAATGTTTATCTTGATATTTCTGATTTATTTGGAAACCCAGATAAAACAAATAACATACTTAGTGGTAGAATCCTTAGGGATGATTGATATTTTTGTTTGTATTATGATATTTATATTATTATATTTTTAATAAACAATATCAATTTTATTTTAATTAAATAATAAAATTTAATTATATTTTGAATAGAAACATGATTTTTCTTGATTGAGATTTATATTTGACAGATAGTGCAACAACACATATAATTCTCAAGAAAAATAAATACTTTGAATATCCAACATTAACCAAAGCTAGTGTCACTACAATAACTAGTAGACATACTTAAAGGCTTTGGAAGAGTTAATATTTTGTTACCAAATAACATAAAACTGGGCATTAAAGAGGCATTATATTCACCCGAGTCTACAAAAAAAATAATTAGTTTTAAAGATATATATGCTAATAGTTATCATATTAAAACAATAGATGAAGACAAAAAAATCTTTATATTATCTCACGTATTCCATACCAGAAGCTTGTACTTGAAAAATTATTTGTTTTTTTTTTTATGAAATTTATTACACAATTATGAAATCTATTGAAACAACTGGTATGATATAGTATAAGTGTTCTGAACCAAAAATATTTATGTTTTGACATGATTGACTTGGACATCCAGGATCGATAATGATGTGATGAATTATTGAAAATTCACATGGGTATCCTTTAAAGAACTTGAAGATTCTTCTACCAAGTGAAAATTTATGAGCCACATGCTCCCAAAGTAAATTAATATCAAAATATCTCCATCAATGGTTATTATAAAATTATCATCTTTTCTTGAAAGAATCTAAAGAAATATACATGGATCTATTTATCTGTCATACAGATATTTTAGATATTTTATGGTATTAATTAATGAATCGAGTAAATGGTCATATGTTTGTCTACTTTCTAGTCGAAATGTTGTATTTGCTAGATTAATAGTATAGGTTATTAGACTATGGGTGTAATTTCCTGATTATTTAATTAAGAAAATTCAATTAGACAATACTAATAAATTTACTTCTTAAGTATTTGATAATTTTTTACCCTTTTATTGGAATTAATAATTTGAACATCTTGTTGCTCGTGTACTTGCTCAAAATGGTCTGGAAAAATCATTTACAAAGCACTTTCAGTTGCTTATATTTATCTAGTGACATGTTATATTACATGTTGCATCATTGGTTAAAATTAAACTGAGTGCTTCCCATAAATATTTTTATTTACAACTTTTTTTTAGTATACCTCTAAATATATTCATTTATGAGTGGTATATGTATCAATAGTGTCCTCATAAAGGACTAAAATGGGTCCATAATATAGAATATGAATTTATGTTGTTTTATATTCTTCATACATTAGTAGATTCCTTAAAACTTTAATGGGTGATGTTTTTAAAGCACGTTTTGAAGGTTGCTATTTTGATGATAAAATTTTTTCATTATTAGAAAAAAAAAAGTTGGTACTTGAAGCATGACAGGAAATTATCTAGAACAAGTCAAACTTATCTCATTTTGATCAAAAGACAAATCAATATGAATTTGAAGTTTAAAAGATAATTCATTTATAAAATATTGCAAATCAATTACAAGATGTTTTTACAAATATTAAAAAGCTGGTTAAATCTCATATTCTAGCTAAAAAGCCTTTATCTAAAATTTAAATATCTTAAGGATAAAAAAAGATAACATTAGGAAATGAATATATACAACGCTTGAAATGCGAAAGACTTGTTAGTGCCAAGGACAAAAATCCTAGAAAACAATAACTATAACATATAGATGATAGTACTCTTGAAGATTCATCATTCATAAAACAAATGATAAATACCATGTCAAAATCATATCTTAATATTGATCTTATTAAAGAGGGACATGCTGAAGACGCATCTCTTGAAGAGATCTGAATATCTAGAAATAATAAAATCTCTATAAACCATGATCATATATGAGAGATTTTGAATCAAAATAAAATTATCATAAATGATGTATTTGTATTTAAGGTTGCTTTTAACATTATCAGAAATAATGATGAAATTGAATAACAAATTACTGGTGAGTGTCAACATAGAAATGATAAACCAATATGAAAAGAAATAATTCAAACAAAATTAAACTCATTTGCAAAATGTGAAGTATTTGGACTAGTATTTCATACACCCAAAGCTAATATGCATGTTGGATATAAGTGGGTTTTTATTAGAAAACAAAACAATAACAATGAAATTATTCAATACAAGGCATGATTTGTTGCACAAGGAACAAAACAATAACAATGAAATTATTCAATACAAGGCATGATTTGTTGCACAAGGAACAAAACAATAACAATGAAATTATTCAATACAAGGCATGATTTGTTGCACAAGGAACAAAACAATAACAATGAAATTATTCAATACAAGGCATGATTTGTTGCACAAGGAACAAAACAATAACAATGAAATTATTCAATACAAGGCATGATTTGTTGCACAAGGTTTCTCACAAAGACCTGATATTAATTATAAGAAAACTTATTTTCTTGTTTGAATGTAATCATTTTCAAATACTTGATTAATGTAGTTGTCTCAAAAACTTTAAATATGCATTTAATGGATGTAGTTACAATATATTTACATGGATTATTAGATAAAGATATCTATATGAAAATCAATGAATAATTCAAAATACTTTAAGCTTTTTTATGGTAAACATATAAGTGTTTATTCTATCAAACTACAAAAAATTTTATATGGGTTGAAGTTTTAATTGAATGTGGTATAATTGTCTTAATAAATATCTTATATAAAAAATGTTTGAGAATAATAAGATTTGCCCATGCATTTTTATTAAGAAAACCACATTCAAATTTGCTATTATTGCATATATGATAATGATTTAAATCTTGTTTAATACTCCTAAAAAGCTTATGTGACTTATTTGAAAGATGAATTTAAGATGAACGATTTTAAAAAGATAAAATTTTATCTTGGTTTATAAATTAAACATCTTTCAAATAAAAAATTTATTTATCAATCAACATATACATGAAAAGTATTGAAGCACTTTTAGATGAACAATGCTCATCCTTTAAGTAAACCTATGATTATTTGACCACTTTTTGCAAAGAAAGACCGTTTTCAACCGCTAGGAAAGGATAAAGAAATTCTTGGACCAGAAGTACCATATCTTGATATTATTATAGCACTCTTATATCTTGTGAATTATATAAAACCAAATTTAGCATTTACAATCAATTCTTTGATAAGATATAGTTTCTCTCACCAAAAAAAAAAAAAACACTAAGATAGGGTAAAGTATATACTCGACTTTCACCATTGAACAACTAAAATTAGAGTTATTTTATAATGGATCAAATTCATAATTGATTGGATATGCAGAAGCATGTTATCTCTCTAATCCCTATAGAGAGAGATTACAAACAAATCGTTTGTTTACGTATGAAGGAACTATAATTTTTTAAAGATATATCAAACAAACATTAATGGATACTTTATCAAATCATTAAAAAATTATTGCAATCTATGAAGCAAGTCAATAATGTATATAGCTAAACTCAATTATCTAGCATATAAAAAAAAAATATGGATTGTCAACCATTGAATATAATCTTATAATATTATTTGAAGGTAATGCTCCTTGCAACACTTAATTTTGAGAAGGTTACATTAAAAGAGACAAAAAAGAGTACATTTCACCAAAAAAAATTTATACTCACGGGCTTCAATAAAAAGCAAAATTTGATATCAAATAAATTAGGTCAAATGATTATTTGATAAACTTATTTATAAAGTTTTTATTGGTCTTAACTTTTAAGAAACTTGTCTATAATATTAAAATATATCATCTTAAAGATTTATCATAAGATATTTACTTTTAAGGTGAAGTCAATGCAAATTGTACTTTTTTTTCTTTGTTTAGGTTTTTTTTCTAACGAGTTTTTCCTTGCAATGTTTTGAAGAGGCAATTTGATATTTTTATGAATTACGCAAGCATTCAAACATGGATCTTGAAGTATTTATATAAAATCTTTTATTAAATCCTGAAGTATTCAAAAATCACATAAAAATATTTTTTTTTCTTCACCTAAGTTTTTTTGTCATTGGGTTTTTTATAAGATTTTAATAAAATAAATTTCTAGTATATAATCATTAAACAATAAATTTTATAACATCTATAATTATATATATTTGATATCCATTAGAATCTCTTAAACTTCATATTTTTTTTTATTTAGTCTTTTAATTTTTCTTTACATTTAGATTTTTTAGTGTTTTTTAATGTTTTTATTTTTTTTATAAATAGAAAACTTATTTTTTTATTTTAAACATTAATTTTTTTTTTAAAAAAATAAATATCTCTATTATAAACATGTATATTTTTACCTGTTCTTTATTTTTTTGTAAATAGAAAAATGCATCTTTGTTATTTTGTGTTATGGGCCTTAATGATGTGAGCCACCAGCCCACCTCAGCCCATTTTCTGATGACGTGTGCAGTTAGCTAAGTCGAGTCTGGCGAAGATTGAAGCGGCAGCACGAGCAAAAGAGAACCGGCAACACTCAAACAGCCCACGCCCGCCCTTTAGCACTCTCGGCGTTTCTGCGTTACGCCTGAAAAATAGATCTGAACTCGAAGAGCTTTCTGGAGTTTGACGACGCGATTCTTTCTGCTTCTGAGTAAGTTTATTATATCTCTGTGCTCTTTTTCTCTTACTTTCCCAGGGTGTTTAGATGCTCGAGAGCTTGCTTTTAGGGTTTTTAGTTTATTAATTCGTTCTTTTCAGGTTTCCTTGTGAAGTTATTTGCTTAAAACTCTGTATCTGATTAGGTTTAATTTGGTAGGGTGTGCATGTGCATGTTCTCTTGTTAATTTCCTACGGTTTCGTCTTTGATTTGATTTTCAGGTTCTCAAATAACACGACGAACTGTAGCTATTGACTGTACTGGACTGGTGAAAGCTGTGGTCTTTGGTCGTTTTGCTTTTTGATATGGCGGATCCAACTGAACCCGAACCTCAACAGACTGAAGCAGGTATGCATTTTTCTTTGTCAAGACTCATCTCTTTTTTTCGCTTTTTTCGACTTCATCTATTATCCGTTGCGGTAAGCTTTTTTCGACTTCATCTATTATCCGTTGTGGTAATTTTTTTTATTTTTTTTAATATATATATTTGGCCTGTGCAGTGTGCAATTTTTTTAGAAAACCGATGAAGAACAAGAATATTAGAAAGAGAATGATTGATGAGGATGAAGATGAGGATGAGGATTCAAAAACTCAAACCTCTCTGTTACACAGTCAGAAAAAAGCCTCGAAAGCTGACAATAAGCTCTACTTTTCTACTGGACCGTCAAAGAAATCGTCTGAATCAAATGCAGAACCTGAAAGGTTGTTATTCCAATTCGAGTCTTCAAAGGAAATTCAAGTTCAGCATGATAGTAGAGCAACTGCAACTCTAGAAACTGAGACTGAGTTTTCGAAAGATGCCCGGGCCATTCGTGAGAGAGCTCTAAAGCAAGCTGATGATGCTTTGAAGGGTAAAAAAATGAGTTCTGGTGATGAAAAGTTGTACAAGGGGATTCATGGGTATACTGATCATAAAGCTGGGTTTCGAAGAGAGCAAACGATTTCAAGTGAGAAAGCTGGTGGATCACATGGGCCTCTCAGGGCTTCTGCTCACATAAGAGTGTCAGCAAGGTTTGATTATCAGCCGGATATATGTAAGGATTATAAAGAAACTGGTTACTGTGGGTATGGAGATTCATGCAAGTTTATGCATGATCGAGGGGATTACAAGTCTGGGTGGCAAATGGAGAAAGAATGGGAGGAAGCAGAAAAGGCAAGGAAGAGAAATCTGGCCTTGGGAATGGATGATGAGGAGGTTGGGGGTGCAGGGGACGATGATGACGACGAAGATGAGTTGCCATTTGCTTGTTTCATTTGTAGGGAGAATTTTGTGGATCCTGTCATGACTAAATGCAAACATTACTTCTGTGAGCATTGCGCTTTAAAGGTAGCTCCTTTTGCTCCTATGTGTTGCACTTTAGCTATTGTTTCCTTTGTGATTTTGCTTTCTGAATTATGTTTAGAAATTACTTAAATTTTCCGTTATTTTGAACTTATTTTATTTCCCCCCTTTCTGCTTTACAGCATCATGCGAAGAACAAGAAGTGTTTTGTGTGCAATGAACCTACTCTTGGCATCTTCAATGCAGCTCATGAAATACGCAAAAAGATGGCTGAAGCTGGTAAACGATAGTTCCAACTCTTTCCTGTGTAATGTTGAAGTCATGGATGTGTTCTCTATACTGTGTAGGAAGTGGCTATTACCATGTCCTTCTTTTCTTAGGTAAATTATCAGAGGAATTTTATTTTTTAGTAGTTCCTCAAAGCTCTTTATTTGTCTATCTGAACTATCTGTACTATCTTTCAGAAAACAATCTAATTTTTTAGTAGTTCCTCAAAACTCTGTGTCTATCTGAACTATCTGTACTATCTTTCAGAAAACAATCTAATTCACTTGAGACTACATTTGGAATTAATATCCAAGATTGTTTGTTTCGAGTGTATTAGTCAGGAGTTTCAAGCTTTTATAGGTTTTCTATTCTTTTGCACTCTATACTTGGTAGTAGCCATACTGACGACATTAGAGTTGCTGTATTTGCAGAATTAGATCTTGAATTACATCTAGTTGCCCAAACTTTGTTCAGTAACTTTTTTGAACAAATTAGATTGTCTTTGATTGTAACCATTGAGTCATCGATCATTTGATTTGTACTCCTTGACGCAGCAGTGCAGCTTAGAATATAAATCTGAACTAGTAGCTGTGACCTGAGCCTGATAAGTCAAATTTGTGAAGAACAGCAAAAAGAAAGTGCATATAGATTTTGCAGTATCTTTGCTACAAGAAATATTGGATTTCATTAAGGTGTTAGTCAATGATGATGAATGATAACTACATATACAAGAGCTTATCGGCTGTACATGTATTCATTGTCTCATGTATATCTAACCAGGGGAGAACCCTGCAAAATTTCTTTACACACCAGTCATGGCCTTCTTGGTCCCAAACATACTTCTTTCCAAAGTGTTTTCGTGGTTCCATAAGTGTGGAGATGGTGAGGCAAGCAATGGCCACAATTGATTCCCCCATTCTTGTACTTTCCAACCAACCATCTTTGAGTTTTGCCTTAGAACCTTGTTCACTGCCTTTAGGTAGTTGCTCGAGTCATGGTCTCTTAGAATTGTACCTTCTGAGCCATAGGCTGTGGGATCGCTAAGAGTTTCCAGTGGGTGGGGACAATTAAGGAATGTCTTTATGGCACTTGCAGCGAACCTGTGTTGGGTTTTATCAAAAGCATACAGTGCACTTCCTGGAGGGAGTAAAGGGTGTGGAGGAGATGACTTCTCATCAGGTTGGAGTATGAATAATTTCCCAAGTGGAGAGTACAGGAATTTCTGCATAAAAACACAGGAGAAGGTGAATGAGAAATTTTGACTGCATTTATATTTTTACTCTAATATGGTCTAAGCTAAAGATTGGGAGTGGAACAAAACCAGGCATCTTTGAACTTTTTAAAAAATAAGGTGCATGAAGTTGATAGACCAACTCCTTAGACTATAGAAGTCTGAGCGAGTAAATATAGATGGTTTGAGAATGGAAAGATATAGTTGATCAAACGGATACTTACATTTTTAGTTAGACAAGGGTGTGACTGGAAGGAGCCATTTAATCGCTTGAGTACTAGTGTCACATGGTTGGGGTAGTTGCAGGAGAAAGCTCTTGGGACAATATCTCTATGCATCACTACACAGTGTACATGGTTGTCATCTAACCCCAAATAATTTAGGATCTTTTGGCCCCCACAGAACACAAATGGCGAGCCAAAAGTGACCACTGGCCTAAGAGCAGAGGTCTTGACGATCTTCCTGGTCAGGAGCATCAAGTGTACTAAAAGAGAGAGGCTACCCCCAAGAGAATGGCCAGTAAATTGAAGCTTAGCTCGTTCTCCATGTTTGTTCAAGTGTTCCATTATTTCTGGCATGAACTGTTCATATATTCCCTTTGCCGCTTCATAAATTCCTCTGTGAACAAGCACATCTGTACCCTGTCAAACACAGTATTTAATCAATGCTACAAGCTTTTCTCCTCTTCTAAAATGGTCTCTCTTCTCAACATGACTTTTTGTGAGTTGTGAGAGTTTGCAGCCAATACTTACCTCAAATTTAGTGGGTTCAAATAGGAGGTTTGCCTGCCAAGATGCAAGGGAGTCGGATCCCTGCAATTTGGAAACACGAAAACAAGTTCAACACTTCTCAGATTTGTGTCTATCTTTCAGAAATAGAATATCGTACCTAATGGGAAATCTATAATACGATATTAGGACTGTTCCAAAGCATACAAAATGCAATGAATGAAGAAGGAATTATTTACCTGAATCACAAAGCAGCGTGTATACGTGCTTACATCATCACAAGCAAACCATTCACAGGGTGCTGAGTGAAGTGACTGAAGGTCCCTTGCTGCCTCCTGTTTTTCCTTCTCCCCGGCCGCAACCATTGCTGTCATAGTTGATGCTGCAACATAAGCTGCCACCTCTGATTTATATACTCGCTGAGGTCTCTCACCATCTTCAACGGGCTGGTCTCCGTCCTCCGCTAGTTGGTTTCCAATACTGCTTGAATCAATACAATCACCTTCCTGCTGAGGTTGAATGGCATGAGAAAGAAGGCCCTGTGCACGTGATTGGACATAAGATGCAGCTGAGGCAGCAATCCCATAAGCAAGAGATGAGCGGATGGGGTGCTTCTGCTCAGGTTCCTCCGTGTTCCCTGAGTTGGATTTGGCAACTACAAGGGTAGCTGCAGGGGCGTGAGTAGCGTCATGATCAAGCTTCTCTTTCACGGCAGCAGCCTCCGCTTTCTTTTCTAAAGAAGATGTGACAAAGTGTAGGCCGTAATATCTCCTTAAATCCATGGCCTGCATATTAATGGATAAATTACTCGTGTTAGATGCATATTTTGCTTGGGCCGGCATTACAACTCTGGGCTGATGATTGATGAAGGAAGTAGATTACTGGCTACCTTGCTTTGATGAATCATATGACGGATGAGTGATAATTTTCTAAAGAGTTAAAATATAAATTTTCACCATTATTTTTGAAATCCAAAACCAAGTTTCTTATTTCTTAACCAACAGATCGCTAGTACCACAGAGTTAGCCAAGCAGTGAAGTTTAGATGATCCAGATCCTAGAAGGACGGGCCGCATAATTGCTGTGAGGGACAGAGAGTACGTACCTTAATTTCTTGTATAACATAAGCCATATTGCACAAGAAAGCCAGCTTTGAGAGTAGCTTGATATCAGACCATCCAACTGGAGCCAAAAATCTTAAAAATGTTTCTCGATCATATTTTATTCCTTCTCCTTCCTCGTCTGAATTATAGTCTACCATGCAGCCATCCTCGCAATTACTATCACCCTTTTTGTTGGCATCAGATAACTCTTCTTCTCCATATATGTCCTCTGTCTGTTGCCTATTCCTCCAATGATTTCTGATCTCGTAAATCCGCTCCACCCAATTCGCTCTCTTTACCTCTCCTAGTTCAGTGCTAGCGCTGGCCCCATCTGAACTGTCCACTATGATCTCATCTTTCTTTAATGAACCATCAACTCCATCCTTGGCAATATTCATGTCTTTGCTTGTCTCAGGGTCAAACAGAAATGATCGAAGTGATGCTGGGATTATGGAGCTAGAAATCTGAAAAGGGAAGATACCACCCGAACGGCTGCTTTTAAGCTTTGGTTGTGATGATGCAGCACGGACGTGGTTAACGGAATAACAGAGGTGGTTATCTGAGTAGGACCTCCGCATGGTGGCTCGGTTGCAGAAATCTTTGCCGGAATTTGAACGGTGAAGGCCATTATGTTCTTTGAACCTATCCTTTTGTGCTACAGTTGCTGGAGAGGAAGGAATAGCCATTGAATTGCACACCATAACTTGTAACAGTTGTCACCGCAGTGCTGATGCTAATAAGTGAAGATATAGTTGCGAACCCCTTGTTAGTAAGATGCGCCTCCCTCTGTCTCTCCCCCCCCTCTCTCCACCTATCTAGCTAAATCTTGAAGTTCGCCAAATTCCCTGGAAATAACTCAAGGGGTGGTGATGGATTTTATAAAACATGGTTAGGCAGGACAAATGCACATCGTTACCAACGAGAACATTAGGATAATACGAATTCTTGAACCGATTCGATTGGAAATTTGAAATTAAACAACGCGTGTAAAGAGTCATTTGGTTTGGTGTGAAGACACGACATGTAGTTACGTTCGAGACCATCTTCTTGCGTCTAATTTTTTAATTATTTTTAAAAATATTTTTTATTTTTTAAAAATTATTTTTAACATATCACTTCAAGCATCTAAAAATATCAAGATAATATTAATTTAAAATAAAATATAAATTTTTTAAAAATACATTTAAAAAATAAATTTAAAATAAAATATATTTTTTAAAAAAATACATTTAAAAAATAAAAACAAACATTCCATGATAATATTTATTGCTTTCAAGTTTGACCAAAATCAGCATGAAAGCGCCCTGGACCTTGGGCATCGTATCCACCGTTTTTTTTTTCTTTTTCGAAATGGGAAACTCCATAGCTGAATCTAAAGAGTGCCAGTACACGCTCTAAAAGCATAAAGTGAAGTTTCTAGACATTGACGTGCCACACTAACACACTAATAAATGGGCACTTAAACGAGTTTAAGATCTTAATGTTAAATTTCCAACCTTTTATCTACCTTTTCTGACAGAAATACATGCAAAGATTTTCAAAAACAATTCACTAATAACTTTAGGTGAAGAGCATCCTCCCTCAAAACCGTATCACATAAGGTTGCCCGACAACAAAAATTTTAAAAACGAGGCGAGAAATTCGTCTTGTACCTGCCATCCGAAGATGATGTTGTTGATCTCGATGATGCCTTGACTCTTTCTATGTTTCGGTTTTCTGGCCTCCCCCATGCTTAGAAATGTTCGTCCTCGGATACCTGCTACAAGTTAAATCTTATTAACCATATCTAACCAACCGTATTCTCTATTTAAGTAATACATCTTGAACTCAAAAATATGATCATACACGCTAGGGAGAAATCGCTAGGATATTAAAAGCTTTAAGAGTGCAACAGAATCTGGGATCCTGATCGGTAATGCAAGTTTGAATACACACACACACACACACACACACACACACACATCTGAAATCCTTGAAATCTCTGCTCGGAAGTGCCAATATGGCATCAAGGATAATGCTAGCTTTGAGTTGATTCCACTTTCTTGGGTTTTGAACACCACTACAACCACGGTGACGGTGACGGTGGTTTAACCTCTAAATTAAATAGATCCTTAAGTCTAAGGATTGAGAACTTACGAAAAATAGCTTTGAGAAGAATCTTTCCATAAAATCACCATTATTCTTACAAGAAGATCCATTGAAAGAAAGAAATTGAAGAATCAATACTTCCATCACAAGCCGTAACACAATATTGAGAAAGTAGGGAGGCTCTTCCATTAAACAAAGGCTCTTGCATGTGCGCCAGGTGGATTCAGCTGCCAAGCATAACTCTCAGCAAACTTTTTTTTTCTTATATATATATAACTCTAACAAATTAATGTACTTATTTTACATTAATTCTTCAAAATAATAGTATAGTTATTTTTGTCCCCTTTTTTAATGTTTCTCCTTCTTTCAGTTCTCGAGCCCTTATATTCAAATATCTCATGGGATTAAAGCAAACAGCTAAAAGAATCCAATTGACAACTCTGATAACAAGACTATAATATCACCTGCCTAGCTAGAACTGGCTGGCATGTGAGAAGTTTACCATCAAAAAGAATTTTGTTCGTGATTATTATTCTAAAAAAGGTTTGTTTGTACAATACCACACTTCATTAATTTGCATAAAAACACGCCAATATCAACGTATACAGCAATTAAACAAAAACATCACGAAATAGGCTTGCTACTTATTTTTCAATGCATCCATGGTAATGATAAGCGTGGGAATGCCTTGCACGAAATTATACACTATATACCTCATCATAAGGAAAATTATCGCTCCGTTTTCAAGAATTGTAGTTATAGCTTATAAAAGAACGACAAAACAAATCAATTACTAAATCATTTCGAAGATACCCATTACCTTAAATTATCTTCTTGCCGTGCACAGATGCGACCATGCTTCTTTCATAGTATGCCAATATGGAAGGCCGTCTCCAAAGACGGATCAAAGTGAAAATGGCAATGCAAATTAAACTATTTAGCAGATAGTAGATAGATAGAGAGAGAGAG